GCAAATTTGGCCTTGGAGTACAGAATGAAGCAGGGTAAAGGCTAATAGAGTTTTGCCAAGAGAACACACTGGTCGTAGCAAACACCTTCTTTCAACAACACAAGAGAAGACTCTACACATGGACATCACCAGATGGTCAATATCAAAATCAGATTGATTATATTCTTTGCAGCCAAAGATGGAGAAGATTTATACAGTCAGCAAAAACAAGACCAGGATCTGACTGTGGCTCAGATCATGAACTCCTTGTTGCCAAATTCAGACTTCAGTAGAAGAAAATAGGGAAAACCACTAGACCATTCAGGTATGACCCAAATCAAATCCCTTACAATTATACAGTGGAAGTGACAAATAGATTCAAGGGATTATATCTGATAGACAGAGTGCCTGAAGAACTATGGACGGAAGTTCGTGACATTGTACAGGAGACAGGGATCAACACCATCCCCAAGAAAAAGAAATGCAAAAAGGCAAAATGATTGTCTGAGGAGACCTTACAAATAGCTGTGAAAAGAAGAGAAGTGAAAAGCAAAGAAGAAAAGGAAAAATACACCCATTTGAATGCAGAGTTCCAAAAAATAGCAAGGAGAGATAAGAAAGGCTTCCTCAGTGATCAGTGCAAAGAAATAGAGGGAAACAACAGAATGGGAAAGACTAGAGATCTCTTCAAGAAAATTAGAGATACCAAGGAAACATTTCATGTAAAGATGGGCTCAATAAAGGACAGAAATGGTATGGGCCTAACAGAAGCAGAAGATATTCAGAAGAGGTGGCAAGAATACACTGAAGAACTATACAAAAAAGATCTTCATGATTCAGATAATCACAATGGTGTGATCACTCACCTAGAGCATCCTGGAATGTGAAGTCAAGCTGGCCTTAGGAAGCATCACTACGAACAAAGCTAGTGGAAGTGATGGAATTCCAGCTGAGCTATTTCAAATCCTGAAAGATGATGCTGTGAAAGTGCTGCACTCAATATGCCAGCAAATCTGGAAAACTCAGCAGTGGTCACAGGACTGGAAAAGGTGAGTTTTCATTCCAATCCCTAAGAAAGGCAATGCCAAAGAATGCTCAAGCTACCACACAATTGTACTCCTCTCATATGCTAGCAAAGTAATGCTCAAAATTCTCCAAGCCAGGCTTTAGCAGTATGTGAACCATGAACTTCCAGATGTTCAAGCTGGATTTAGAAAAGGCAGAGGAACCAAAGCTCAAATTGCCAACATCCGCTGGATCATCAAAAAAGCAAGAGAGTTCCAGAAAATCATCTATTTCTGCTTTATTGACTATGCCAAAGCCTTTGACTGTGGTGCACAACAAACTGGAAAGTTCTTCAAGAGCTGGGAGTAGCAGACCAGCTGACCTGCCTCCTGAGAAACCTGCATGCAGGTCAGGAAGCAGCAGTTAGAACTGGACATGGAGCAACAGACTGGTTCCAAATAGGGAAAGGAGTGCGTCAAGGCTGCATATTGTCACCCTGCTTATTTAATTTATATGCAGAGTACATCATGAGAAACGCTGGGCTGGAGGAAGCACACGCAGGAATCAAGATTGCTGGGAGAAATATCAATAACCTCAGATATGCAGATGACACCACCCTTATGGCAGAAAGTGAAGAGGAACTAAAGAGCCTCTTGATGAAAATAGTGAAAAAGTTGGCTTAAAACTCAACACTCAGAAAACTAGGATCGTGGCATCTGGTCCCATTACTTCATGCCAAATAGATGGGGAAACAGTGGAAACAGTGACAGACTTTATTTTCTTGGTCTCCAAAATCACTGCAGGTTGTTACTGCAGCCATGAAATTAAAAGATGCTTACTCCTTGGAAGAAAAGTTATGACCAACCTAGATAGCATATTAAAAAGCTGAGACATTACTTTGCCAACAAAGGTCTGTCTAGTCAAAGCTATGGTTTTTCCAGTAGTCATGCCTGGATGTTGGCCTATAAAGAAGGCTGAGCACCAAGAATTGATGCTTTTGAACTGTGGGGTCGGAGAAAACTCTTGAGAGTCCCTTGGACTGCAAGGAGATCCAACCAGTCCATCCTAAAGGAAATCAGTCTTGAAAATTCATTGGAACGATTGATGCTTTAGCTGAAACTCCAATACTTTGGCCACCTGATGGGAAGAAATGACTCATTTGAAAATAGGCTGATGCTGGGAAGGATTGAGGTAGCGAGGAGAAAGGGACAACAGAGGATGAGATGGTTGGATGGCATTACCAACTCAATGAACTTGAGTTTGAGTAAACTCCAGGAGTTGGTGATGGACAGGGAGGCCTGGCGTGCTGCAATCCATGGGGTTGCAGAGAGTCGGACACGACAGAGTGACTGAACTGAACCAAACTGAATTGGGTGATACTGTCAGCCCTTTTGCTGATGTTGAGTTCTCCCTTGAAGGAATTACACCCTCTTCCTTGTCACATCAGTAAAGCATATTTTTTTTTTCTCTATTACAGAAGCGATGTCATGGTTATATCAAAGGGGCTCTTAAGTTTATGGAAATTTCTTCTCCATGATACCTCCATCTCCTGGGTCCATCACTCATTCTTACTGTTCCCTGTGCAAGGTGATAAGCTTCACTTCAGTTCAGCTTTCCATCCTTTATTTTTGCCTTGAATGTTATATCAAAAAGAAGTTATAAGTCTTGAAAATGGTGCCTTTCAATAAAGAATTTAACCTCACTTGTAATGGGCTTCCCGGGTGTCTCAGTGGTAAAGAATCCACATGTCAATGCAGGAGGTGTGGGTCAGGAAAATCTCCTGAAGGAGGAAATGCCAACCCATTCTCGTACCCTTGCCAGAATAATCCCAAGGACAAAGGAGCCTGTCAGGCTATTGTCCAAAGGGTCACAGAGAGCCAGACACAATTTAGTGTTGGAGCACTCACTTGTAAAGAGACACAATTCCTGCTCTGAAGAACCACTGTCTGATGGAATCTTTGCTGAGTGTTCTCATGACTTAGGGCCATTCAATGCTTAGCCTGAGAAAGTGGTTCCACAGGAATTGTGATTGTATCCAGAAATGTCCCTTCTTCTTTATCTGTTTGCAGATCCCTTTAACAGCTACCACATTTTTTTCATTCCACAGGTAGCTCTGTGGCTTAAATAGCAATAGACTGAAGAAGCAGCAACACAACCATGTGAATTAACATGGACTACAGTTTACGTCTGACTGCACATTCTTCTGCAGGCAGAGCAATCAGGGGGTGAAGTAGTGCGGAGGATCCTCACTAGGAGGTGCAGGGCACCAGAAGGGTTAGCTGAAGGCAAAGGTAAACCTCATGCACCTAATGAACCTCCCCAATGCTGGTCTTGCTGAAACAGAGCACCAGCTGACAGAAACCCATGCTGTATCACATTAAAAGGGACTTGTTTCAAAGGGGCTACTCCATCCATTCAGCTACTGTACCCACCAAGTCAAGGGGGGGTGCTACCTGATTCTGAGCAGGCATTAGGGTTCTATCTATTACAGGCAGGTCACTTATTAAGAAAAACTTCAATCATACATAGATGCTGAATCATTAGAGTGCAAAGCTGGTGACATTTAAACACACTCCCAGTTAACCTGTCATTGTACCCTGGGTTGCCCCTGCAAATAGAAATCATAGACCTCAGGATAAGGTGACTGATACCAAAGGACCAGATCATCAACCAAAAAACAGGGGGGAGCAGAATTTCAAATAGATATCACTTTGGAGTCAATTTACAGTATTTGGTTTTCACTTTATAAACACCCCCAGCTAATGTACTTTTCACAAATAGATTTTCATATCTGTCCTTCCTGACTCAACTCCTATGCTATAATCTCTTGAGGGGACAGTAAGAAAAGAAACCAATCCACAGTAAGATGATTTGGGACCGTAATAAGTATTATGGAAAAAAATATTGGGTTGGCTCAAAAGTTTGTTTTTTTCCCATAAGATTTTGTAGCAAACCCAATGAAACTTTTGGGCCAACCCAATAAAAATGGACAGTGGGATGAAGAGTGATCTCAAGGAACGACAAAGTAGCCTCTGGAACTGGATGTTTCAGCTGAGAGCTACTGGAAGAAAAGGAACCAGTCATGCAAGGATCTGCAAGGGCGCAAGTCAGAAGAAGCATGAACCTAAAACAATGTCTGTTTCTGATGGAGTAGACACTTGGGAGGGGCATAGAGGGAGATGCTGGAGCTGGTTAATCACTAATTCTCTCTCCTCCATGGAAATCTGAACAGGGCGCCAGTTCCCACCCCCCTTCCCCACACACACTTTGCATATTCTTTTCATTACCATTTTTATTTTCTTAATTCTTCTCCCTGATTTTCATTAACTTACAAGAACATGAGCCTCTGCCAGTGACAAACACATCTGGAGCCCTCTTCTAACCCCTCCTCATATAAAACACCGAATAAAAGTCATTGGAAAATAGAAGCAGAGAGTATTAAGATTTAACTCTCATTATTACGAGGTCCATTCAACTGTTTATTTTTATGACCATTACATCTCACTATCATTACCAATCATAGGCAGAAACTAAAGTATAGACTCATTTGTTCCTTTGCATTTTATCTCATATGAAGTCCTATGATGGGGTAAATATCTTCAGCAAAGCTGCATATTTAACCATACACATTTTTTTAAAAAAGCAAATGCATCTAGATAGCATTTTCCAAGGAAATCATAAATACTGCAGAAAAAAGTGCACTACTTATTTTAGTATGACTAAATTTGAAATTTCTTCATCATTATCATCATCTACTTCATTGCAAGTATTTGTTCAGCAAGCACTGAAATCAATAGAAGAAAGAAGAAAAAGAGAAGAAGCTATTTTTTGCACCATGACCAGACTGTCCAGATGTCATGCCTGGCATACATCACAAGTGACATTTCTAATCATGTTTCCAATCAATGGGAACATACAAATTTTCCTTCGTGATCTGCAAAGCTTTTGGATTCTGCAAACCCTGCTGTCAACAACAGCAGCCTAGGAAAGAAGGCGTTGCCATGAATGGACTCTACCTGTTGCCATCTTCGGTTCCACCCCAAGGCACTGTGGTTCTCTTGGGGATCCCTCTTCTTCCTGAGTTCCAGTCCCACAAACCAGAAAAAAAAAAAAGCAGGGAGAAAAGAAAAACAATGCATTAATTGACAGCAACAGCTTTTTGCAAATTGACTAATTAAAATGAGATCAAGAACTGAAAAAAACTAGACCATGCCCTTATGAACTGAGGCCCTGGATAAGGAACAAACTCAACCACAGATGTTGAGTAGAATAACTATGGAGGTGCTGGGTTACAGACTCTAGGGTGCCATTCCCATGGAAGCATTTGAAAGCTGCCCCTGGAGTAACACAACTCAGGCACTGTCTGTGACTGATCCATTAGGGGACAACAGTTACTTAAGCATAATAGTGGCGGGTTTCTTCATAAGATGGAAAGTCGGCCAGTATGGTGCAACAAAAAGACTATGTTTTATTTTTCACAATTCAAAAAGCTGATTTAATGTACCTTAGAAAATTCTACCCCAGCTCAGTTATGTTTATCTCTGGGAAGGTGAGCAGACACATTCTTCTCTCAGCTCTGGTATGACATACTTTAATGACCATCGTTACTCCCGTGTGTAGCACTCATCAAAGTTGATCCAGCTAGAAGTGGAAGTAAATTAAAAGGAACATCTCCATGGGGCTTTTCTAATTTTGTCTGATTCCTTTATTTTTTTCCTTCATTGAATAAATATCTGTTGAGTGCCTGTAATGGGCTAAATCTATGGGATCTTAATCTTTAGGAAAGATTCCTTCTCCAGTCTCTTGAATTATATTGAAGGTAGTTCCCTTCTCACGTACTGCCTAGGAAGACGTACTTTCTTCATATACCTTGTTCCTCCTAAGAATTTAGCCCAATAGAAGATGTTCTGGACCTTAATAAAGCATATGGGTGTAGGGTTCCATAAATGATAACTACTCTCTAACCAGATGGGAACGATGGAATTCCAAAACTGATATTATCTACTATAGGCTACTGCTGCTGTGTTGCTCAGTTGTATCTGATTCTTTGAGACCCCATGGTCTGTAGCCCACCAGGCTCCTTTGTCCATGGGATTTCCCAGACAACAATACTGCAGTGGGTTGCCATTTCCTTCTCCAGGATCTTCCCAACCCAGGGATCAAACTTGGGTCTCCTGCACTGCAGGCAGATTCTTTACTATCTGAGCCACCAGGGAAGCCCATCTATCATAGGTTCTATCAAAGCTCCAATTTGTTCTAAGTTTGCAGCTCCTAGGTCATATCTCATCTGAGAACTCATCATACTCTCAAGCTTGGTTGGTAAGATAAAAAGATATTCTTTTCAGTTCATAAGGATTAGTTTCATTAAATCACCATCAGTATCAACTCAGAAAGGAATTAACTTCGCCTGCATTGGGTACAAATGTTTTTTTCAGAGATCAAAAATCATCTTCAAATGTTTATCATCAGGGACCAGTTTCAAAATTTTCTCATACTTTGAAAACCCATGAAATAGTACTGATGCAGGCAATTTGGACAAACAAGCCTTCCAGTCCAATTATCTCAAATTTATATGTTACAAGAAATTGTAATGAAAATTGCTTCCACAATTACAATTCTAAAAAAGATGTGAATTAATAGTATACGAAAGATATGTAAATGATAGTGAAGCCCCATTACACAGCAACTAAATGCAACAAATAATTTCTTGTTTCACAAGGCCCAGTAGAACAGTATAGAATAAAAACATGAAGAATTATTTTATAATACAGCCACAGGAAACATCTCTTGAGAAGCCAAATAATAAAAATAAATTTGTTTCATGGATGGAAGGATTCCCCTTTGAGCCAGTAAGACTGTTTACTTTTTCATTGCTCTGAATTCCAGAAGTGTGAAATAACTAAACCTTTAACATTCTTTCAAATGCATTTATTACTTCATTTTAAGTTGCCCCTCCCCCAATCTTGTCATTAACTAGTAAAAATTGTAAAGCCCTGGAAGGATCTGCAGATGGAAGGATATTTGGAATCTGCCCAGCCAGAGCGCTCTCAGCATAGAATAAACAAGCATCTGTCTTCAATAGCATAAACTATGATCTATTTAGAGAAAAAAGGCTGAGCTCCTAGATTCTTGAGTTTCTTTCTCTTCAGTGCAAGTCTGTGATTTGCTGAATTTGTTCTTACTGGCTTTTTCCCAGCAAAGCTAGAATAAAATGACAACAGTCAAACTGTAGTAGGCATCTGTCGATTTTGCTGCCTGGAATTCACTCACATTTTCTAGTAAGTGTGTCCTGATTTCCTCTTTAAAGTCATCCTTTCCCCCTAGTAATGAATTGTTGTTCTTATAAAGCCAGTTCAATTCTCCCCCACACATATGTCCCTCCCCACCACTCCAGAGGTGGCCATGTGACTCAGGGCTGGGCCCACCAGGCCACTGTATTTCCCTGTTATTGGTACAGAGTGGTCATGTGGTCTAGGGCTGGACACATTAGTCCACTTCATTTCCTTGTGATTGGTGCAGAGTGAGTTATGTGACCAAATCTGGGCTAATGAGAGATTTTCAATGCACTTCCAAGAATATGGCTTCTAGTCTACCCTGGTCCTAAACCCTGAGATGACTGGTGTGAGGGTTGGGCTGCTGCTCTTCACATGCAGCTGGGGCAGAAGCCCACATAAAGGAAGGCTCTGCCAGCTCAGGGAATTCCCTTTAGATAACTGTAGGGAAGCCCAGGAAGATGGGAGGTGTCATTCCTGTCTTAATCACATCAACATTTCACTCCCATCAGCACTGGGTCCGTGGAGAACATTCCTCATGAACAAAAACTGCAATTTACTCAGCTACCCAAGATCAGGGACACTGGGGCCTTGACCAGAGACTTGCTTTGTCCCCTGTTTACATGATGCCATAGAGTCCTTGGTGCTTAGTCTCTGCATGTCAGAACCTTAAGTCGCTGCTGCAAAAGAGGAGGTATACTGGGTCACATGTTTGTCAAGTGTAGTTCTCAACTTTTGATGTGCATCCAAACCACCTGGAGAAGCAGGCGTTGGTGGTATAGTGATGAGCATAGCTGCCTTCCAAACCACCTGGAGGATGTGGATCAAATACAGAGGAGTCAGCCCTTTCCCACTTCACCATGCTGGGCTCTGGATTGCTTATTAGTGCTCCCCCTGATGCTGACACACACCCAAGCTGGTGAATTGCTATTATAAAGGATAGAAATTTGGTCTGGTACTCAGATATCACCAGGGTCCTCTCTTTCTCTCAATCTCTCCATTGGCCCTTTTCTATCTTTGTATTGCTTCCCAGGCTTCTCCTTCTTTGCAGAGTCAAGGCCACCAGATGCTTTAGGGCCATAGCCTTTCAGCTCACGTTTCAAAGGGAGAAAAAGAGTGTCTCAGTCCCTGCACTCATGATGTAGTCAGCCCTCCCTGTCAGTGGATTCAACCAACCTTTGATCAAATTTCAGAAGCCTTTGTATGTAAGGGACTTGGGCATCCATGGAGGACAGGAGGGTATTGGAACCCATCGCTTTATGGATACCGAGGCGACTGTAGAGTTCTAGGGGAAGCCTCTGGTTGCTCTGTCTTGCATCACATGCACATGTCTGTCAATGAATAGGGACTAGATCTTCTGGACCTACATCACTGCCCCCTCCATGGGCCATGGGAGGAGGAGGTGCTGTGGTTGGAAGCCTCCCCAGAACCTTAGAGAATGGGGAAGGCGCAATTCCGCAAGAGAAGGAAAGCTGTGTCCAGAAGTGGGGGAGGAAGGGATGCTGGCTACAAAATATAGACTTCAAGCAGACAATTCCCCAAAGCCACAGGACTAAAAATACCTCCTGAGAGGAGTGATGTGGGGAATGGATGCCACTCAAGGACCTGGGGAACAGCTATTTATAGGTCAAAACAAAGGTGTTTTTATATCTTAAAAACCAATGTTTCTTTTACTTCTTTTTTATTTTTTTATTGAAGGATAGTTGATTTACAATGGAGCCCAATCTCTGCTGCACAGCAAAGTGACAGCTTTTCACATACAGAGATTCTTTTTTTAAATATTATTTTCCACTATGTTTTTTTTTTTCCATTATGGTTTTTTTTCATTATGGTTTATCACAAGATATTGAACATAGTTCCTTGTGCTATACAGTAGGATCTTACTGTTTATCCATTCTTGTATACCAGTTTGCATCTGCTAATCCCAAACTCCCATTCCATCCCTCCCCACCTCTGCTTCCCCCTTGGCAACCACAAATCTGTTCTCTATATCTGTGAGTCTGTTTCTGTTTCATAGATAAGTTCGTCTGTGTCATATTTTAGATTTCCACATATAAATGATATCATATGGTATTTGTCTTTCTCTTTTTTGGTTGTTTTTTAATTAATTTATTTTTTATTGAAGGATAATTGCTTTACAGAATTTTGCTGTTTTCTGTCAAACTTCAACATGAATCAGCCGTAGGTATACATACATCCCCTCCCTTTGGAACCTCCCTCCCATCTACCTCCCCATCCTACCCCTCTAGATTGATACAGAGCCCCTGTTTGAGTTTCCTTAGCCATACAGCAAATTCCCACTAGCTATCAATTTTACAAATGGTAATGTAAGTTTCCATGTTACTCTTTTCATACATCTCACCCTCTCCTCCCTTCTCCCCATGTTCATAAGGACTATTCTCTATGTCTGTTTCTCAATTGCTGCCCTGCAAATCAATTCTTCAGTACCATTTTTCTAGATTCTGTATATATGCATTAGAATATGATATTTATCTTTCTCTTTATTACTTACTTCACTCTGTATAATAGGTTCTAGGTTCATCCACCTTATTGGAACTGATTCAAATTCATTCCTTTTTATGGCCAAGTAATATTCCATTGTGTATATGTACCACAACTTCTTTATCCATTCATCTGTATTGTAGCACTATTTACAATAGTTAGAACATGGAAGCAACCTAGATGTCTTTTTCTTTTTGACTTACTTCACTTAGTATGATGACCTCTAGTTGCATCCATCTGCTGCAAATGTCATTATTTTGTTCTTTTTCATGGCTGAGTAGTATGCTGTTATATATATGTACA